GAAAAAAAGTGTGAAAGAGCTAAACGTGGCAGTTTTACTGATTTACTGATTAACGGATTACCTCATTGTAAGACTGCATTGAACAAAATTGTACCATAATGGCAATATGATCAAATAGAGATTAACTGATTAGGCCCATTAACCTATCATCAAAGTTAGTGGGCCAGATGATTCTAATAAGGCCCAAAATGGTTTAAACCGAAAATAATTGAGTTGAATAACCGGTAAGAGTAAACAATTACATAATTCACCCGCATCTTTACATTTGTCACGGAAAACTCCAAAATCTCTTTGACTCTTTCAGATCCACTATCTTCTTCTTCTTCCTCGAGAAACTGTTTATCTTCCATTTTCGCCATACCTCTTACCATAACTGATCAGTCACTTCTGCAAATTCTAGAGACGGAACTGTGGTGCGTGGCGATGAACAACGCCGAGGATTCGGCACTTCAAACGGCCATCGACTGGGCCTGTGGTCCCGGAAGCGCCGATTGCGCCGGGATCAACCAAGGCGGACCTTGCTACGATCCGTCTGATATCCTGAAGATGGCGTCGTATGTTTTCAAACAACTATTACCTGAAGAACGGCCTCGCCGATGAAGCTTGCAACTTCAGTAACACCGCAGCTGTTACTTCTCTCAATCCTAGTAAGATTACATTTATGTCAGATAAAATGCAATTCGATTATGATTGACATTGCAAATCGAATGATGGAAGTTTGATTCATTTGTGCTGCTCGTTGAAATCGATTTCTCATCTTTGTTTTCAGGCCAGGGAACATGCAATTTTCCTTCAAGGTAATTAAGTAATGCACCTTTGCTTCAGCAAATTTCTCATCTTTGTTAGTTTCAGGCTGTTTGGAGCAAATTTGATATTGAAATTTAGAAAATGATTCCTCGTTTGATGGGTGTTAAGTGAAATCTCGAGTAGCTCTGTTTCGTTAATTCATTTTTTCCTCGAGATATTGCTTTGATCGCAATCACACTGATAAAGCATCATCTTTAGCTACCATTTGGTGATTGAAGGTAAACCTATTTTTATCTCTCTCTTTACTGACTTACCACTGTTGAAGAGTTAACTAGAAATGCATCAAACATTAGCATTGTATCAATATGTATCTTTTGACCAAACGTATAAGAAATGTTCCATTACACAAAAATATCTAAAAAGAGATCAAATTAAAGTAGATATTTATTGGTATAGTATTGAATTAAAGATTATCGATGTGTATGTATATGATATTATATGCATTATATGTATCTCTATGTCGACTCAATGTCTCTCAACATCCGCTACACGATCATTGTCAACACAAGAGTGATTGATCCTGTTCGATGATCTTTCCCTTGTCATGATCCTCCTAAACGAATCTAATCGTGAGACCGATGATCCAACTGTTTTGTTACACGACGAAGAAGATGACGCCACCGCTTCCGCCGACATATTCACCCTAACTTCCCCCAACAACGGCGGTGCAGTTGGTGGTGGTGCAGCACCGTCGCCGACTGGTCCTTCTCTTGGCTCAGGCTCAAGTGTCGGTCTTGGCTGAACATCAGTCCGACAAACAGGACAAGTGGAGCAAGTGGTGAGCCACTTGTCAACACAGTCGACGTGGAAGACGTGTTTGCAATTCGGCAGCTCTCTCGCCGTGTCTTGCTCCTCCAAAACGCTTAGACACACCGAACATTCAGTTGGAGCCGCCACGTCACCGACGGTGAAAGTAGGGAGAGAAGCTATGACAGTTGGGTCGAGGCCACGTTTTGGCGTCTGAAAAGGGTGCTGGAACACGACGGGGAGGCCGAGGCGACGGAGAGCTTCTCTACGGCGACGGAGAACGAATCTTGCGTAGAGATGAAGAGTGAAGACGATGAGGATAACGGCGGATAAAGAGACGACGGCGGCGAGCATGATCTTGCTGTTGAGGTCGTTAGTAGAAGGACTGGGCCAGAACGAGTGGTGGTTTTGGTTGTTGAACCAGCGATGATCTCTGTCGTCGGAGCTCATTGTGAAGCTTTTTTTTTTTCTTCGGTGGATTGGGAATCAAAGTGAACAAAATTAGTTACTAACTTCTGTTGTATTATATAAGGAACAAAAGTCTTTACTTTATTTTTTCCAAGGCTGATACTTTAGTTGGTGGGTGGAGAAAAAGATGATGAAGTAGATAAAATAAGAAAGTTTGGGAGATAGCTAATACTTTCAAGGGGATTTTTGAATATTCACGATTGTTGACTAAACTTGGATTTTGGAAACACTAAAGTCTATGCTAACGTGCATTATAATTTCGTACATTTAAGTATTTAACTAAAAACCCTTCAATAAAATTCAAAAAATTATAAGACAGGTTTTCTTTTTGTCAACAAAATGATTATTGAGTGATATCTCAATAAATATGATAATAAATAATGTAAATGTCCATGGTCCGGAAAATACGAAAAATTAAAGTTAAAACGTGTGAGGAGGATACCACATCGTTTGACTTGAAGAACAGTCGTCGATGTAGACACGCATTGAAAATTATATAACAAAATTGTCTGGATTGTATATTACAGTTTCAACTCTTTTTTTCTTTCTTTTCACACGTTAAACAACAACGGCTTTGTACTAATGTGTATTTTCTTACAGTAACACATACGAAAGGTTCAAGTAAAAGAAAAAAATTAAGGAACAAAGAGTACTAGTATACACGAATGAAAGATTAATTATCGACGTGTGTATGAAGTTACCGATTCATTGTCTTTCTATATCCAATACACGATCTTGGTCAACGTGAGCATGATTGTTCCTGTTCGAAGATCTCTCCCTTGTCAAAATCCTCCGAACCGAATCTAACCGCAAAACCGATGACCCGCCACTTTTATTCTCCGACGACGACGCCGCAAAATCCAACGACGTTTCACCGGCGCCAACTGGCCCTTCCCTTGGCTCAGGCTCAAGCCTTACACTCGGCTGTACTTCATTTCGACATACGGGACAAGTGGAGTGCATGGTGAGCCACGTGTCTACGCAGGCCACGTGAAACACGTGCTTGCAATTCGGTAACATCCTCGCTATATCTTTCTCCTCAAACAAGGTTAGACACACCGGACATTCCGTAGCCGCCACGTCATCACCGTTGACTCCAACCACGAACGTAGGGAGAGACGCGATGACTAGCGTGTCGAGGCCACGTTTGGGCGGCTGAGAAACGACGGAGAGGGAGAGGATTTGGAAGGTGGATCTACGGTGGTGGCGTAGGACGAATCTTGCGTAGAGATAGTAAATGAAGACGACGAGGATAATAATTGAGAAGGAAACGACGGTGGTGAGTAAGATCTTGCTGTTGACATTGTAAGAAGTCGTGTTTTGCCAGAACGAACGGTCGGAATCTTGATCATCAATCCTGTTGACAGAACTCATGATGAAAGAAATGGAACAAGAACAGAAAGTGGTAACTATAAGTTAATAATAACAAGTAATGGAGAGGTTGAAGAGATCTTAGACGTGTAATTAAATTGTATTTTATGTTAACTTCTTATGATATTTTCTACTTTTATATATTTTTCAAAGCATTAGTGGGTGTATAATAGAATTATGAGATATAAACTCAAGGGCCATTTGTTGACTTTATTCGGATTTGTTTTTTAAGTTTTAAACTCTAATCAAATTTATGACATTTAGCTATCGATGGCAATCTCCTTAGACGTATAAAATAATACATAACATGTCGACAGTATACAAGAGTTCTAAATAAATGCCAATACAATTTGTTCCAATAATATGACTACACTTGTGTAAATTGAAAATAGTCAAGAAAATACGAAATTATCAAAAGGTTTACCGTGGGGTTTGGAGTGAGGCTGCGTGTGGAGGAACCATATAGCTTGACTTCGAGAAGAGTCTTCGACGTAGACAAACATGTTAATCTATTACAAGTTGCGAATTTATTAGAAATTCAACTTCTTTTTTTGCTTTTCACACGTTAGCTTCTGTTTTATTCCTCGAGTCAATTATGTTTTATCTTCAAATATATCATTTTTCAATGTAATTGTGTAAAAACGGCACTGAAATATAAACCTTTTCCGTATAAGATATCACTGGCTTTGGGCTTCATATTGTTATGTTGGTCTAAATGGACCAATTTACAAATTTCGTAAACCATATGGTATATGAGTTATGTTGCATAGGACCGTATGAATAGTAAAATACCATGTATAGAGGTATATGAATAATAAATTTAGAACAACTACCAATCAGGATTATTTTGGTCTTAGAAAAACATTGTGTTTGAACAATTTTTGGTGGTGGCCGAAGATTTAAGAATGTTCCATTTTAACTTTATAGTGTCAATTTTGTTTCTTTTACTGTGAAAGAGGTTCATATACTGTAAAAACATATTTAATATGAATGATATTCTTTTTGTATTGTGACAGAAAATATTTGATCGGGCATAAGAGTTTTTTTTTTTTTTTTAATCTCTTAACTTCTTAAGTACATAGTGGTTGAGTCAGTGAGTGGTAGATACAAGAGTGTATGTATTATTTACATTGAAGGGGATTTCATATTTTTTTTCCAATATATACAAATTAATCCGATTTGTTTAGCAAGCCAAAGACTAAAACGGCGTGAAGTGTTTGTAGCATGGAACGATTGATCCAACGGTAAGGATCGACTCGATGTCAGAACCAACGGCAGATCTTCGTTATCAAAGTTTCCTTTTCTTCCCTCTCAGTCTCGGATTATTTAATTCGAAAGTGCTTCACAGATTCTTCAATTTCAATCACAACCCAAAAAAAATTTCCTTTCTTCCACAGTAAATCCCAAATCGTATCCCAAATTAGGGTTTCAGTAAAGTGAAGTATAGTTACACAATCAGAAATCGTTCAGAGAAAAAAAAAAAAAAATGCAGCCGTCGATGGAGTTTATGAAATCCTTAGGAAAAGGTTCGTACGGTTCCGTCGATCTCATCAAATTCACGAACCCCGACGGCTCGAATCCGTATTACCAAGCCGTGAAAAGCTCAACCGCACACGACTACGAATATCTCTTCAAAGAGTTTAAGATTCTCTCCAAACTCAGAGATTCTCCGAGCATCGTGCGAACTTTTGGAACATCTCTGTCGAGAGGCGTCAATGATTACGGAGTCAGAGTTTACAAGATGTCTATGGAGTACGCAGCTGCCGGAAGTTTAACTTCTTTCATGGAGAAAACAAGATCATTGCCTGATTCGTTGATACGAGACTTCACTCGTATGATTCTACAAGGACTCGTCTCGGTTCATAGTCACGGTTACGTGCATTGCGATCTTAAACCGGAGAATCTCCTTGTGTTTCCGGTTCACGAGTACGACGAGGAAGATGGTGGTGGGTGGAGAGTTTCGTATGATTTGAAGATTTCGGATTTTGGTATGGCGACTGAAGTTGGAGAGAAAAAATCGGAGTTTTGGGAGTTTGATTCTCCGTATTTGGGGACGGCTCTTTACATGTCGCCGGAGTCTGTTCACGACGGGATCGCCGAGAAAGCGTTGGATTTGTGGTCGTTAGGTTGCGTCGTGCTGGAGATGTACACCGGAGAGCCGCCGTGGGCGTTTCAAGAATCGGAGGAGCTTTTGCCGGTTTTGTTGA